TAACTGATCTGTATACACTGTAAAAAAATTTCACTCAAATTTCACTCAATTTTACTCAATAATGTATCAATTTCTATCCACACCCGATTAAGTGAAATTTTAACTATTAGTATGAGTACAACTGAGTGAAACTTTTGCATCAGAAATGAGTGAGTTTATTGAGTTACTGTTAACTATCAATTGAGTGATTTTTTACTCTATTCTGAGTATATAAAACTAATTTAGAGTTGACTTTTTCTCTAATATGATTTAAATTTAACTATTATTGAGTCATTTTTACTCAGACTTGGTTTTTAATTAAGTAAATATAGAGGGCAAAACTAAATCACTCATAAATGATTAATTAGTGTTGAAATTAATTAGACGCTATACAGTGTGTTCTGCAAATGATGAATTTTCAAATTAGGAGAGATTGTAAAAATAATGTCTCAAATCTACATTTTTATTTTTTTTTTTTTGATAGTATATATTAACCCTTGAAGTTAAGAGATGAAAATCGGTATTTTGTATTAACTTATTTGTAATTTATTAAATTTGTATAATTTTTGGTATGGTGTATATAATGTGTACAATTTACTTAATAAATGCTTCCATATTATTAACGTTTGGAGTGACTTCGCACCACTTTATATTTTCTTGAAATTTTAATGCACCTGGATATGAAAAAGGGAATCAACATCAAGGAGACTTCAAATTGAATTGAAATTGAATTTGAAGATTGAGCACATTTTTATTGCTGTGAGCCACGGTCTTTCAATTATTATTAATGTGGTTCAAAATATTGGAAAAGTTGGACATTTATTTGTACAAATCTTAGCAAGGTGATGATAACCACAATATTTAAAACAACGACTTATTTCAATTGCGCTATAGCGCAATACCTATACCTAATAAATACCTGACAATAAAAATCTATACCAATACTAATTTACCTACGTTTATAGCCCTATGGTAGGTATCTATATCCACTTGGAAGACAGATTGATACATTTTTCGTTTTTTTTAATCTAATGTAGACGATTTCACAAATTTCGGATTTTATTAAAAGATTTATTTCGTGTTCTTAAATACTTAAGTAAGACGTCTTCACTGAATTGTTCAGTCATGTTGGTTATTCGTATTCGAGGATTCAAAGACTGTAGTTACTTAACGTCATATTTTGGTGGTGGGTGACAAGATACTTCGATTTTGAAGATTTACCTAAGTTCTTACAGCTAATAACCAATACACCATTTCGAGTATTTTTTACGTTGGCACAAATTGGATCTATTGCACGAAATACCTTGGACTCGTACTTATAATGATTCGTTTACAATGAACAATGACAAACCTTTGCATCTACGTTTGAGATAATGCGACCGCCCATTGGTTTAATGGAGTGTCGTGAAAGATTACAGCAATCACTAACCGGTGAAATAGAATGTTATGTTTTTGTAACTAAAATTTAATTGCCAACATGAAGGAAATAAAACAAAATTGCTTGTCAGGTGACGTGTAATCATTTATGAAGGCTCCGTATAAATAGCAATTGTCCACGAATATTTTGCTTACACCCCGTATCACACCGCTCTGCTCGGCGACAAACCGGGACCGTCGCCGTCGGTCGAGTCGCCACCCACTCCCCGCCGCCCCGCCGCCCCACGCGATCCTTTCAAATAAAACCACGGAATTTTCCTCGACGAGATCCGATGGAAAATGTATCGGGATCAAGTGAAACTCCACACAACAACTGTGTGGCTTCCTAACCAATGACAGCTCTTCCACATTGATTTATCGTCAGTATTTGTGTACCTCCCGGAAAAAACGGAACGCGGGCCGAGGAGTAAGATTGATGCTTTCCATTTGCAATCTCGCCAGCATCCACGTCGTAAACTCCGCCGCAGAAATTGCCGGGAGGCCTGCGTATTTATTGGTTTCTTACGTGACCCGGAAAAACGGGAAAAAAACAATGCGATCCGTCTAGTTTTCTTAATTATTATCAATAAAGTGATTTCTTTAGGTCACGACATAGATAAGGGTTACATATGTGCACACGGTGTGTACAAACTTGGAGATAATATTTAAATAGCACAAAAATCGAGGTGCGAAAATTAGGTTGGCAGTCACATTTTTTGCAAATAGAATATTTTTTAAGATCTTATTTACTTACCACAATAGTTCGAAGAAACATTTTTGGATCTGCTGACTCCATCCATAACTCAGCTGACTGTTGTGCGAGGAACACTCCCGCGATTTTTGCAAAGCCTTCGTTTTTAGTTTTTACTCACTTTAAAGAAAGCACTATTATCACTTTTTTTCCATTAATTTAACAGTATTTTTATTAGAAAATTAAGCCTTTATAAAGTTGAGGTACCTAGTCGTAAACTATAAAAATACAAATATTATATTTGAGTTTAAATAATACATAAAAACAACTTAAGACATGTCAATATTACAACTAACAACAATAATTGATTTTCAAATATAATCAGACAGCTCTAGTACTACTGATTTGGATTTACTTTATTAATAATTCAATTCTCAGATTATACAGCCGGTATGTAACTAGATATCATCAATTAATTGGTTTTATTATGTAACATTTAACATGGTTTTACTTTTTATTTTTTTTTTTTTTTTTTGGAGTTCATTTTGATCTATTTGATCTACGAAATAACCTTATAGAATTAACAAATTTTATTCGTTTTTCTTTTAAGACAGAGTTTAAAAAATCACATCAGATTTGAATTTATTTTCGGTTATCAAAATTTTATCAAAATTTTTTTGCTGTTTCGCAATCAGATTTGACAAAAATTGCACCGTCTTGATGTAGTTTGTATTAAATTGTTCACTATAAAATTAATATTAAAGGTTTTATTATGTCCTAAATGGGGTAAAATAAAGCTACCTATGAAGTAATAAATAAATTAAATATACAAATAAAACGTTGTTCTTAATTGTGCAGTTCCAAAATAAACAATAATTTTTAATTTCAGTGGATGAATTAAAACGAACAAAAATATTTTAAAATTCGGAAATTAAAAGAATAATGCGCTAAATAATGAAAACCTGAAGAACCAGTGGAATTTATTTGTTTGTAATTTGATTTTTATCTCTTTCTGAAGCTTCACCTGATGCTACTCAATTTCGGGATATCGAAGAGTACCTACGCCAAACTATACAATTTCAGCAAACGATTTCTCGGAGAAAAAAAAAACAGATATTGTAACAATTTAAAATGGACTTTGAATAAGGAGATTAGTGCCTCCAGACTTCTGATGACTTCTGATTCAGATTCAGTGCGATTCGGGGAAGTATAATCTGCTGTCTGGTTTGGTCAGTCACATTTTGTTGATTTGTGTAATTCTTCACGACACATTATAGAGTTTACTTTTCGACGTTTTGGGGTTATCACAAAGTATGGTGTGGAGAATTTTAGTTTTGATTTATAATACTGAGCATTTTATTGGTTGGAGATTGATCTATATTGGACATCAAATCTATTTTTTTTTAATAGACGGCGCAATTCAAGCATAGTTTGGTACGTTACAAGTGTCTACCAAATTCATTTTTGCTTTATATTTTCTTTAATTTCTTTCAAAATTGATTTAATACTAAAATAGTAAAATACTTTTTCTGTTAATATCTGAAAAGGTGGTAAACGTCCCTAGGGACAAAACGAGTGCTGAGTGCTTACTCGATATCTTTTTTTGTCGATACCAAGTAGGTACTTTTGGTATTGATTTTTTTATACCAAATACTGAGTAGGTATCGATAAAGAATAAAGAGTATTCGTATTGGTACTGAGTTGGTTCAAAGACAGTTTTTTTCTTGGATCGCTTATTTGTCACATTCATGAATGTTTCTTTAGTTTTTTGGCAGTTAGCAGTCTTGAGCTTTCCATTCGATCGTTCTATTCTATGCATTTTAATTACCACACAAGATCACAAGAAATGGTCCTATAAGGAAGCATCTTGATCTTGAAAAATTATTATTTTTAGGCAGTGCTACAAAAGCGTAGTTTTTCGTTAATTTCTCAAAATAAAAAAGTAAATTTCCAACTACTTTGTAATGGTGCATTATTTATCATTTAATCCTACCTACATCCTGCATGTCAAAAAATATCCATACAAGTAGGTATCGATACTTGCCATTCGACACCGAGTAGGTATCGATGCTTTCATTTCATACAACTATAGTAGGTTCATATTCGATGCAAAGTAATAAATCATTGCCTGTCAAGGGATCCAATGCAGTCCGCTTTTAAGGGTTTTAGAAATTGAATAATTTCTTTATACATTATGAAGGGACGAGGAGATCAGTTCACGTCTGGCACCCTTGTTCCTACAAAAATTCCTTTATTCTCATAAACTATTTGTTTTAAATGTAATTTATTATAAATCCAATTTGTTTTTTAATTTCCACATATGTACTACATTTTTCATCTGTACGCGCCACTGTTGTTTACTTGTTTTTTGGAGGCGCTCTCTGTTTTACGCTCAAGCTCGTCAGGTTAGTATTTGACGTATAACCGACCACTTCGTACACTCGATGTACCTGGGCGACGATAGCTACTACCAGAACACAGTGCGTATGCAGCGGTATTTCAGATTTAACATTGAATTTCATTTTAAATTTGAAATGGTTCATCTTACGCCTCCTAAAAATGATGAAACGATTTTCCTTTAATAAAAGACCGACAACTTTTTGCTCTACTTTGCATCGAATACGATCCTTATAGGTACCAAATAAAAGTATCGATACCTACATGGTATCGTTTAATCCCTAAACACTCCATTCCTCTAATAATGCAGATGCTGTTATCTTTTGGTACTACCTGCAACTAATAATTAACTTGTTGACTAAACTTTCCAAATTTCTATTCTATGGGAATTGATTGTGGCACCACCTATTGGATAATAGTCATATTGGTATATATTTATGTTGGCAATGTGCAGTAGCAAACTGCAACACTAGTTGACAATCATAAAAATCGAAAGATCGAACGTCCCTGAATGGCTGCTGAAAAAATGTCATGTGTCATGTCAGTTGCGGTTTGTTAATGTCAAAAATGATTTGTTTTCAGCCGCTAACATTTTAAGGAAAAATATAATAAGTATATTTTAAATTAAAACATATGTATTAAAATGTCATACAGCGTCGATATATCTGTTGAGGCACCAATCGAAAATCAAATCCAAGAAATAACCTATGATGGCACAGAGATTTATCAACCGTAAGTAAACTAAATCTAAATCCAGCTGAATTAAAATTTCACCGATCCGATATATTTCAGCCCTCTGACCCTTTCTGAAAGTCTTGCAAAGTATGCACAGAAAATAGACTTCAGCAAGACCTCTGATGTAGATGTTAAAAAAGAAGAGTCCAATGAAGACGCAAAATCAGATTCAGACAGTAAGGATGCATTCCAATCATCCCTATGGCCTTGGGACCAAGTAAGAAACAAATTAAGAAGTACACTGCAAGAAGTATGTGTATTAGCAGACGTTTTAGTTATTGCAAAAGAAAAACGGTACTTAGTTTTGGACCCTGTTCAGCAGGAACCTTTGGAAACAAAACCGATGGTGCAGATATATGCAAGGAAGAAAGCTTTAGCTGGTAAGACACATAACGTTATTAACTAACAGTATATTTGTATAATTCTGTCATAGGTGCAGCAAATGTATTATTAGCTGGTGCAGAGAAATTGAAAACTTCACAGAATGAAGCAGCGAGGAACCGCACAAGTTTAGATTTTCATATAGAACTTTTACGATTGCGCCAGAACTGGAGGCTGAAGAAAGTTTCGAATACTATTATAGGTGATTTAAGTTACAGAACGGCTGGTTCGAAATACCTTCAAACCGGCACATTTGAGGTGACAAAAGCCGAAGACGAAGAAAGATTCAGCAGTCCTCCAAGCAGCCCTTTGCCTGGAGGACCTGCACCCGTCAAACCAAATAGTGCTTTGAGGGTGTTGATTCCGTCAGAACTTCAAGGCGTTGCTTATATAGAAGTGCTATGTCAAAAAGGTAAGCTTTTTATTTTTATATAGGTTGTAATTTATTTAATTATATTTTACCTACCATTATTATCTGAATTTCCATGGAAAAATTGAATTTTTTTATCTTTATTATTTATAATATTCATTTCCCACAACAAGCTAGTGTAACCTTAAATAAACGTAAATGCATGTCCATATTGAGAATTACAGAATGTATTGTCAAATCTCATCTTTCCAGGGTGTTTCACTTTTTGTCTTGGTAAATTATATTATAGTGTTTGTATATTACTATTACTAGTGTTTGTATAAGTTTTTTCCAGCATTATATCTGCCAGTTTAGATTTCTTATTTTATATTTTTCTGTCTATAATTTTTGTTCAATGCACATCAGTGGTTAGCAGTCATTCTTATGTAATTTTGAACTATGTTGCAAATGCTTTAATTAATTTATTTTACACTTTCATAATTTAGTTTTGTCATATTTGCCCTCTTTGAAGTTCGCAACCACTTGTTGATTAACTAACATTAAACAAAGAATGGGCTCTGGCTCGTAAATAAATAAATAATTACAGACCAAGAAGATTTGTGTAGTGCCAACATAAACCTGTTGGGCTCCGGCCCGCCAGCAACGAACCCAGACATGCACTGGCAACAGAAGCTGGAGGCCGCCCAGAACGTACTCTTCTGCAAAGAACTATTCAACCAGCTGGCAAAAGAAGCCGTCCAACTCCAGGCGCCCATTCCGCACATGGTCGTCGGGAACCAGATCATGGCCACCGTATTGCCGGGTATCCAGCTGATCATAGGGCTTTGCCACTCCACAACTAATGATAAGAAGCAGCAGAACCCAGCGCCGTCGAAGAGCGATCACGATCATGTCCTGGAACACTCCTTGCATCAACTCCTGAGGGAGGTGCATCATAAGAATACTCATATTCCTTTCCCGCACCCCGCGACGGGGCCGTTGGGTCCCTCGAAGAAAAGAATGATTGCTGGTAAGTTTTTGTGTAGCAACAGCTTTGTCATTTTGTTGTCAGCTTATTAAAATTTGTTTTTATAAAGTTTGTTTCAAATTTGAAAAGTATGATGAAAATTGGTCTTTAACCAAAGAGTACTTGTCTTTCTTCAAAAATGAATTTCTGTGAAGTCAATTCAGTCTTTTTTTTCTTTTAATTTTCTAGAAAAAACAATTATATTGTTGATTATTAACATTTTCGTTACTCGTTTCCCGGTTACTGACATTCTTGTCTTCATTTAGGCCCCATGGCTGCAGATAGGTATGAGCTGCTCGAGATGACCAAAACCGAGACCCTCCTAGAACAGATCGTGAAACAAGCCCAGCATTTCATCATGCGGATGAGGACTGAATACGTTCTCGACACCATAGCGAAAGAGATCAAGGATCCCTTGATCAGTTCCCACTGGAATACCCTGAACAGCCCCACCCAGTCCTGCGTGAAAATCAACATATCGACGCACGGCTACGATGCAGTATGTCGCACCCCATTGGTTATCCACGTCGGAGAGAAGAGTCTTAAATGTATCTGCAGGGACGGGAAGGTGATGAACATGAGCTACGAACCCCAGGAGTTGAGAGACCTCATTATTTGCCACATAAACCAGCATCAGATCCTGGCCGTCCAGGCGTTGGCTAAGACGATGGGTTGGCAGGCCTTGGGGAATTCGAATCACTTGGGTAAGTGTGGGATTCGATCGGCATTGCAATTCTTAATAGAATTTCGCTGTTTGTAACGGAAACAAATCGTAAAAATAATTGACACAAAATGCTCTAATTTTTTACATGTTTTTCAACATTATCAAATTTTAACTTAACAGGATATAAATAATACGACTATACGAAATTACTTATTTTTTTTAAAGTCGCTAGTAACATGAAATTTTGTTTTAAACATGACGTGTTATATCAAACCAAATGATAGAGTTATTATAAAATTATCAACTTTTACAGGTACAGGATGCGTAGAACCTCTCGGCAATGCGAGCTCCTGCCTGTTGTCTTCCCCCACGGGAGACAGGATCATAGCGGTCCGATGTGAACCCCAGGCTGGCACTCAAGTTTCCGTGGCACATTCGCCCAGATCCGACTTTTTTCCCAGTCGATTAGTGACGGAAAGAAAGTGGGAGCACCTCGGAGGTCAATTCAGAGATGTACGATTGGACAAAATGGAGGGAAGGAACTTCCTCCACAAAATGGAGCTCCTCATGGCTAGTCTGACTAGTAATTCTTAGATTTATGTTAAGTGTTGTAATAATTTATATTTTTTCTTTATTAAACGGCAATTAAATTAAAATTGAAAGTTGACGTGTTTTGTGTTGTATTTTTTTAAAAAATTCAAAGAACGAGTAAACTTTTTAGTAATTCCTGAAGATGACTGAACTGACAACCTCATTAGAAAAAAAATTATAAATAAGCAACTAAAGTATAGGCAAATATAAACATTTGCCTCACTTTTCTCCAAATATAATGCATAAAAATTAGCAAATGATTTTAAGCATCGACATTTGCTTTTATGAAATGGAAACTATCATGGTTTTGCCATAATATAACAGAATAGACTTTTAAAAGGTTAAAAATGACAGTTAGGAAACAACTAATTTTAAAGTCGAAAAAAAATCTTAATTTTTTATTTCAGTTGTGAAATATGGAGGATTATAAGGAAAAAATATATCCTTTATCATTATTATATATTACCACAACTAATATGTACAAAAAAAAAAACAGAAATCGGCATTATTTTGCCTTAGCACAGCAGAATAGACTTTTAGATGCACAAATATGATAGTTAAGAAACAGCTAATTTTAATGTGAGCAATAAAAATGTTCAAAAAATTATTTTTTTATTTTTGAAGCTGAAATTATGAGAAAAAAAGGTTTTAAATCATTATAATCTAATTCTAAACTCTTTCGATTTACTAGACCTAATGTAACTAGAAGTAACAAATTGGCAAAAAAATGTGTATGATTTTTCTTTTTAAGTGATTTTAAATACAAGATAGTTACAGAGAGTCAAAGAAAATAATTGGGCAATTTTTTCCACACCATACTCCTTGTTACATAAATGCAAAATTTTTACCCCACTAATTATTCAGACTTGTCATTAGTTTGTATTTACAGTTGTGTTTCTAGGAAAGAAACAAAGAGAAATGATAATATTTTTGTGGAGCGTTTGACAATGTTTTTCAAATAGAATGGAATATATCTTTTTTCTTTGACACAGTATCAAGAGGTACATGCAGTGTTTCAAAATATCCAGAAGCGCCAAATTTCTGATGTTTAAAATGAGAGCGACTCCATCTCTGTTAATTTCTGGCATGTATATCCAAATTCAGTGTATTTTTTTCTTTAATTGAATAAATCATTAGCCTAAGTTTCGCGTTTTTCTCACATGAAAAAACTTCTTCAATCTGGGATATCCGTCTGCTTACCCTAAAAAAACGTCACACGACAGTATTTATTTGCCCCACTTTCTCCCAAATATAAAGCATAAAAACTAAAACATGAACCTAAGTACCACCATTTGCTTTTATTAAGCAAAAACCAATACAACTTATTTAAAAAACAGAGTAAGCATTATTATAAACGGTATGGTTATCTGTTTCTACTATAAAAATAATCCCTACATAATAGAATATTAGTTAAGCCTCATTTTGATAATCAATAAGGGAACCTTCTTACAACGTAATAATCTTTTTGTAAATAGAAGCAACCAAAAGCTACGTGCTAAATTCAAATGCTTTAGCAATACAGTTAAAACGCTGATTGTTTATAAACAAATTGTTGAAGTATTTGTTTATAGTTTGGATTTGACCGGTTCTGACGTCAAATTATAAAAAAGCATTTCCGGAAACACAGGCAGCGTTGCCATATTTAATGGTAATTACCTAAATCTGGGAAAGGAGTAAATTTTTCTCAATTCAAATATCATCTAAAAACCTCAGGTCTCTGAAAAGTAATACAACAACTTTTTTATTTCCATTATTAGTATTAGTAGCTTATAGATAAGTATTTAATTTTAATTATAGCCAAATTAATTACATCACGATTAATTAATTTAAAGAAGTTCAGTGGAAAAAAGTTAATTACTTATACATATATAATGAATACAAGTGGCATCGGCTTTTCCAATTACTGAATTAAAGGTAATTTTTTATTTCACACAAGATGTTTTTCGAACGAGGTAGTCTGAGGAAAGAGGAAGGAGAAACGTGGCAATAGCTGCCCACTTGGCAAATCGAGCGCCTGCATCTTCCTCATTCGTCGTCGTCGCTTCGTTACTATAACAATCAAGTACTTCGTTTGTGTCAAAAATCTTCCAACGAACACAGATCTACGCTGCGAAATTGGGTAACTACTTGTAAAACTAGTCGTACGACCTACGCATCCTTCGTATTTATATATTTATTGTTCAAATCACCGTTTTGGCTGCGAATATTGTCATACATAATTGCATTCTTATAAACGACGCCCTGCCCTCTCCGACATTTTGTTTCGATTAGCTTTACAAAATAAAACAGTGCGTCAGTACCTCGATTGAGTCTAACATATCAGTACCTTCGTATTTTAGTTAAGTATTATCAATCACAAAACAGCTATGCTTGCCAAATTAACAGTAAATTGCACGTTAAACATCGCATTAATTTTTACTTTGTTGTACCCAATCAGTTATTGCAAAGTACGTATTCGCCCAAACGATTGATAATTTACCATTATTACCTACGACATTCTACGTTCCACAGAATCATGGGTGACCGATCTAGTGATAGAGGGGCAAGAGTTTACGTAGGAGGACTAACAGACTCGATCAAGAAGGAAGACTTAGAGGGCGAATTCGAGAAGTATGGCAAGTTAAATTCAGTGTGGGTGGCTTTCAACCCCCCCGGTTTTGCTTTCATCGAATTTAACAACCTCACCGATGCTGAAACAGCTTGTGACAACCTCAACGGTACAGATTTCTTGGGGTCCAAGCTGAGGGTTGAAATTGCCCGGGGCAAATCTCGCAGGGGCGGTGGTTTTAGGGGTAGCAGAGGGGGGAGCCGTGGTGGCCCTCCTGGAGGTGGTTACAGAGGGGGCGGCAGCAGGGGTTACTCTGGTGGCGGTGGCTTCAGGGGTAGTCGAGGAAGCAGGCCTGGTGGAGGCAGATTCGATAGCTACGGAGGTGGCAGACGAGAAGGTGGAGGTGGCGGCGGTGGCGGCCGGTTTGGTGGCAGGGACTTCAACAGGAGGAGTGACTCTTACAGCCGGGATAATTTCGGTGGCAGAGGTGGTGGCGGTGCAGGTGGTGGAGGCCGCAGGTTCGATGACAGGTATCGGTCCAGGTCCCCCAATGCCGGCATGCCGAGACACTAGAGAATATAATAAGACTTATTTTTCCCTTTAACTTTTAATTTATGATATGTATTTACCTTAAGTACTGATGGAATAACGGAGTGTAATATTCATGTAAAATGTATTCGCTACGTCCCCACAATCGACACGAGCAGTATTTGCATATCTATTATATTGTGTTATTTTGTATGAGTCACTTTAAGTTATTTAAGGAACAAAGGTTGTATGTAACCGTGTTATGTACATATTTTTTAGTATCTTATTCTTTTGTCATACAAAAATGTTCACAAAATAAAAAATTAAACTGATTGTCTCTTCTTTTCCTTTATCGTAAAGATTTGGAAACAAGCTTAATCATCTAAGAAATATTTTTAAATTTTGCAGTTATCACAAACAAAATAAATGATAGTTTAAAAAAACTAAAATTACAAGTATTTTGTTTACAGTGAAAAAATTGTGTACATATTTAAAAAGTACTCGGAATTGCTTACATTTAAAATATATGAATTACTGAGTAGCAGTACATATTCTAGTTTGATTTTTTATTTTCAAATACTTCGTAAACTTGTTATACATGTCTACAGATGGATGTAATCTTATCAAAGGGCAGAAAAAATTGAGAAATATTTTGAGATTTAGCCCCGCTTGTATCTGAAACAAAATCCAATAAGCTTTGGAAATGAAAAATCTATATTCACCATAAAAGTTCCTTAGAATAAGAAACTTGAGTAATAAAAGGAAAATTTTAATGGACAATAACATTTTGCTAGATTTTAAATTTTTCTTGAAACAATAGAATTCAAATTTAGCACATGCCTCCACAGTTTTCATTTTTAAATAATTCATACACCGTGACGGCTGGTGAAAATTGATCTGATCATTATCTTCATAAAGAAGCAGAAGACCCATACACTATTATTTAAATGATTTCTAATTTCTAGGCCTATTAAGATAATTTGTAAAATAAGAAATTAAAATAGGGAGTGGGAGGGGTAAAATATATGGAGCAAATTTCATTAGACATTCTTTTGTGAGAAATTTTTTTATGTGGGCCTAGAAAATCATCACCTAATAAATGGTATGTGTTCCATATTTATAAAAATATGAGCTCTACAATTTTCACCAGTCACTGTTGAAAAACAAACAAAAATTCAAAGGCAATCTTGAAAAAAAGTCGAACTTGTAACACTATTAATTTTATGATCCTCAAAAATCCATATAATAGAAAATAAGAAAATAGGTGCCTACTCTATAATAAATAGCAATGCATCTATTAAATCAGGGTTTGTTTAAATTCCAACAAAGAGTGGACAAATAATTTTTCATTTACATCACGTTGGCTGAAAGCGTTTGGTAGGTAAACCGGTCAATTTTAGGTACCATGCCAAGCCCACATACTTCTAGAGATAGAAGTATGTGGCCAAGCCATGTTCCATATTTGACAGACTAGGCTATATATATTTTTTTAATTTATGGTGTAAAAAATGTCACCACAGAAGTATTCCTTGGGAGTTGATATTTAAGGATTTTTGACCACTCTGTATTCCTATTGGAGAGTCAAGGTCATGTCACAGTCATTCCATTCTTGCCCACTGTCTCTGTCTAACTCAAAGAAAAAGTCGATAAAGGAAGGTGAAAAAATTATATAAAACCGGCGTTCTATAAAATGAATGTCAGTAATATCGTCCGAAGAGGATTAAACAAACCTACTTCTTCCGTCTTCCAGCGATTTTTCCAAACTACTTCTTCCAAAATGGTGCAGGTAAATCTAGATAAAGCTTATCAAGTAGCTTATGTAATGTTTGTGAGGTTAGGGTTAGTGTTTTTTACCGATATAAATAATCAAGTTGTTTATAATTTTTTTTTATATTTAATTTAATTTTATACTCTAGGTAGGAGATTCAGTACCCAATGTTGACCTATATGAAGATTTACCAACAAATAAGGTCAATCTTGCTCAACTGGCTTCAGGGAAGAAAATCATTGTCTTTGCTGTACCAGGGGCCTTCACTCCAGGTTGTTCCAAGGTTTGTTAGTAGTTAATTAATTAATCCTTGAAAGTTAATTACACAAATAAATTGTATAATAATTATGGTAGGTACTTCATTATGGCATTGGTTGAAGTGTTTTGATTCTGGTTACAATATTTATTATGTTAATCATTCAAAAGTTTACTTTTCATCATATTGTGCAACAGGAAAAGTTGTTTATAATCATAATGAATATCTGAAGTTTTTCCTTTTTTTACTTTTTGTAGTATTTATACTATTAACAAGAAACTTTTTTATCGCAGACTCACTTGCCTGGCTATGTAAACAAAGCTGACGATCTAAAAAAGCAAGGCATAAACGAAATCGTCTGCGTTTCTGTAAATGACCCATTCGTAATGGCCGCATGGGCCAAAGACCAAAAAACTGATGGAAAAATCCGCCTTTTAGCCGACCCCTCAGCTGCCCTGGCCAAAGCTCTGGATCTAACCGTCGATATAGCCCCACTAGGTGGAGTTCGCAGCAAGAGATACTCCATGGTGGTAGAAAATGGCAAAATCACTTCCTTGCAGGTTGAACCTGATGGCACAGGTTTGTCCTGCTCACTCGCCGAATCTATTAAGTTATAAGAGATCTCACTTACGACAGTGTCTTTGCTTTTGTCTTTAGTTTAGTACAATAAGGAGGTATTCGTAATAGTTTATGTATTGTATATATTTTGCATTAAATACATTTCCTGAGGTTAATAAATCTGTTTTACTCGAAATGGTCTGTTTGTCTACCTTACTTTTGCCAAAATAAAGTGTATGGATAAGTCCAAAACAGAAAGATTTACTGAAATGTTAAAAAATTATACAGGGTTTATACAGTTTACTTATCCCGTTATACACTATATTAAAATAATTTCAGGGAATACGTTCAGAGATCCAATTTGTAGGTGTAGAGGAGTAAAAACCCATCTTCAAAATTGGTTTAACCATACATTCTTGGTATTTCTGAAATTATGTTTTCATATATTTATATGTTTTCTCTGTTCAATAAACTGACTCTATGTCGCGCCCCTAGGAAAATTGCTGGTTACACCCATGTCCACATGCCCTGTATAAAAAAAGTTAATTTCAGCCAACTACGCCGTTACAATATTTTTAAAATTCATCTTGACAGTGTCAAAATGCCAAAACTCTAAAATTCCAGTGATATGAATCCCTCAACATTTTTCCTAGTTACAAAATGTCTAAAATCAATACATTATGCCACTGTAAGAAATTGTGCCAGTAGTTCTCAGTTAAAAGAACCTACAGTAACGATACTCAATGCCTCTACTAAAATCGGAAGAAACCTAGCACTGTTACTGAAGCAGAGCCCCTATGTGGGGGAGCTGCGATTGCACGACACTAACAACAATGTGTGTGCCGTAGCCGAAGATCTAAGTCACATAGACACCAAGGCAAAGGTGAAGTCTTTTGGTGGTAAAACTGCTATGAAACATGCAATATTGGTAAGTGAATCTGGATAAATCTGAACAATGTTATGTATGTATGCAATATGAATAAATGTCATATGCTTAGAATCAACAATTAGAACTAGAATGAACATCGGAGTGTGCTTAGGCGTTCTGACAGCGGGTTTGCCCCCACAGAGCCTAGCCCGACAACAACAAGAACAGATGAAAGATTCCCAGCTAAGGCTGAGGAAGTTGTGTAAGTCTGAGGCTGTAACTAACAACTAGAAAAACTATCATACTTTAAATATTAGCACAAGCCGTAAAAGCCTTAGAACCACTAAATATATATGTTTTTATGTAACAGAAAGTTTTCCAACATATTTCTCCTATTAATGACACACCACTTGCTCGGTAACATACTTCAAGATTTAGGTATTACTTTGACTCAATTAACATTGGGTTTTAGATTGCACATATCTTGTATTTTATTAACAACAACAGGACTTTCAAAATGTTTCCATAATCGAGCTTATATATTCCCATACTATCTAAACACTATCTTCTATTAGAGAATGTTATTTATTTAAAAATGTTACTTTTTGCGTTGTTGCGGTTATACATATAGCATGGAAAGTTTCTGTAATTTAGAAGAATGATTATCCATTTCATGATATACTGTAGGTAATGAAGAATATGAGTTAAAACAAGTGCAATAAAAAAAATTGGGGAAAATATATTTTCTTTGATATTTTCTCAAAATTTATTGTTTTTTTTTTTTAGGTAACAATAGGTTTGTTTCTGCAGCAGTCTCAAACTGTTTTCAAATTATCAGATATACTCCGCCAATTAAGTTGTCACATACTTTCAGTGAGTATAAAGTTACGAATCAGTTGGTTAAATATCTCTGATAGTTTCAAATCAGTCTTCAACTGCTGCAAAAACAGACCTATTATACAAGTAGTGATTAATATGCCTAAAAATATAAAAAATTGACTTTTCTGTGGAGTTTAGAGATGAACAAGAAGGTAGATAAATAGATCTCTATAAAATTCGTGTGGACATAATTTGAATATCAAAAATGTGATGTGACATAAGTTGCTGTTATATACAATATAATTTTAGAACCATTGTTGATATTCGGAAAAAATTTCATATTTCTTAAAAATATCACATGGTAGTTTAAAAAATTCTGAAGAAAGTAAACAAGTCAATAATTTTCAGAATTACTCTCTTTGAAGATTTTTGTTTTACTGTTATTCTAATTTATCATTTCAATAAATACATATCTTGTACATCTCGTTTTAAGGATGTGGATGTAGTTGTGGCAGTAGGAGGCTGCAGAAGTTCTCTTAGCCAGACGCCAAAGCTTCTGTTTGAAAAAAATGCTGATGATGTCAGGCTAATAACTCTACACATGGTTGAATTCAATCCAAAAGCTGTACTTTGTTTGGCGAAACCTCCAATTGAAGCGATGGTACCCCTAGTATCACAAGTAAATAAATTTTAGACGGTTATTCGTAATTTGTTTTTGTACCCAATATAGAATTTTCCTTATATAAGTTGAATCATATAGTTATGTGCAAACAATTTGCAACAAAAAATATAGTCAATTCGTTACTATTATATTAATGCGAAAATTAATTTTTTTAACGCTAGTCATTTTTGAGAAAAATTGAAAAAGACATTATTTCCACCCTCCCAGGGCTACATAAAATTGAACAAAACAGATATATTTTTTTTTTCAAGAATTTCTGAGAAATTGTATACTTATCTGATTTGATACTAACTATTAATTCATTTACTAGGAGTATAAGAAAGCTGGTGTTTACGACAGCAGAAAAATTATTGGAATCACCTCAATGGCAACCATGAAAGCAAATTACTATGTCGCTGCCGCTAGTGGTAAAAACCCCGCCAATATTCTATGTCCTATTGTCGGGGGAGTAAGCTCAAACTGCTTAGTGGGTGTCCTATCGCAAGCCAAACCAAACCTTGGAGACAGTTTGGTAAATATAAAAAATAAAATATATTTTGAAATTATACCGGGTGTTCGGAAATAGTGGTACTTCACTACGGGAGGTAGACACGTTTGAAGACGACTTTAAATAAATGGGTTTTTGCCAATAACTTTTAACTGCATTGAAGGAGAGGGATAAGTTTTGGGTGATAAGTTATTACTAAAGTTCAAAGAATTATTTGGTAGTGCAAAAATATGAAGAAATTAACTAAACAATTTTTTTTTTTTTTTGATAAAAACATGGTCATATCCCTCCGGTTTGCACGCCATGGGTTATAACCTGGATCAACTAATACCCTCAAATAATCATGTTTCTTAGTAGTAACTTATCGTTCAAAACTTATCCCTCTCCTTCAAAGCAGTTAAAAGTTATTTGCAAAACCCCACTTATTTAAAGTCATCTTCAAACGCGTCTACCTCCCGTAGGGTGAATTTACGGACCCATGTTTATATGAAATTTTTGTCTTATTTTGAGTCGTCAAATCTATTCTCAAAGTGAAGTACCACTATTTCCGAACACCTTGTATATCTATCACATATTTACACAGAATATATGAGTTTTACTTTCTCTAATGGTATTCTTTTTAGAGAGATCATATCAAAGTTCAGAATAGCCTAGCGAATAGTGAGGATGATGTTTTGAGGCAGTATGCAGATTGCGGAACAATATGCTTTTCTCCGGCACTCGCCATTTCAAGATTCATAAATTTATTGTTAAGGGCCCTTATGGGAGACACGAATTGTGTAGATTGTGCTTTTGTCGGGCAAACCGGGCACATCGGACAATTTTTGCCATACATGGCTTCGATTGTACGATTAGGTAAAGTTATTAAAATTCTTCGAAAGTTGTTTACAGAAAACTTTATAAATTTACTTATTTCTCAAAAAATCGCATACCACACTAAAATCACGTTATAAGAAGACTAGTTTTGAATATTTTCATTGGTTTTATACTTGTTTATACAGTGTAACTTTGAATGAGTTATATTTATAAGGAAGCTTCACAAACTTTACTATTACAAACATATATCATCAGTTTATTTTCTCAAATTTCCTTATAAAAACAGATTTTTTTTCAACGTGAGTGCATAAACAATTGGGAGCTACAGCATGCACTACTTTCAAACCTCAGTTTTCTGTTAGCACCATGTCACCACACAGAAATTTAACAATGAAGATACACAAACACACCATACCATCACTAAACACAGAAATAAACAAGTTTTATGAAGCTGACAAGTGCTACACTCGTTTTTCTTCACTGGGAAAAGTTAGAAAATCCAGCGTACAGTCCCAACCTTAGTCTCTGTGATTACCATCATTTTGGACCATCGAAGGAGGCACTAAAGTGATTGCAAATTTGAAAATAACGAAGCCGTAGAGACTTATGCTCAAGAACCTTTTATGAAGAAAGGATTTCAAGACTTCTCGAGCACTGATGAAAATGTGTAGAGTTACAAGAAGATTATATTGAATAAAATTCACATTCATATTTGAACTACCCTTGTACACACACCTATTACTGCCATATCTCGATAATACAAAGACAGTTCCACCGTTTTGCTGGAAATAAAAGCACAGCTTCGGAATTCTAATGTCAGATTAATATCTTTTTAATTCTTTAGGGCGTCAGGGTGTAATGTCCAGCCACATGCCGAGAGTGAATGGCGACGAGGCGCACCGCCTAAAAATGGCGTCTTTCTTTATAAGAGACCTCATCAGCTTAGGCGAGTCCTTTGTCACGGGCGAAATCAGACCACCGATTAAGTTTGGCTTGAACCTATCAAAACAATCAAACAAAGAACAGTGCATCGACAGAAATTTATCAGTCACCAAGGAGGCGAAAGCTGTACAGTAACATATAAATAAAAACATATATGTGTGATGGTTTTTTAATTAATTTAATGATTTGATCACTTTCTGGATTTTCTATGGAATGAACTGGTAGATACAAAAAGTGGGCTGCCAGGGGCTCCCAGTCTGAAGTTTCCTTTGGGAACCGGTTCATGTTTCAGACATGATTTCAATGGGTAGGATCCACCTCTGATGAAACTACTGGTGCTGATTCCTGGTTTTCTGTACAAACGAATGCATTTCGGTTGTTGGAACCGCTCCTTCACTTCGCCCTGTTTCTTTTTGTTGATTATAAAAGAATCTGTATGCTTTAAGAGTTTAGATTTGTCTTTATTCGTAGCATCTTCCGGGTCCTCATCGCTGCTTTTCTCTGTTGAAATATCTTTTTTTACAGACTTTTTGTCGGCAGATTCTTCTTTAGCTTCGGTTTGTTCTTTTTTTCTCCCATCGTCATTTTCGACACGCTCTTCAATCTTTGGTAAGTTCGAGGCAATACTATCAGTTTGTATTTCTTGGGTTTGGGTAGTTTTTGGCCTCACCGAAATTTTCTCGCATACATCATGCATGTTCATAACCGTTTCATATTTGTTGTATTTTTCATAGTCGCTTTCTTCCATCGTAGAAAGGTCAGTCGTATCACATTCTGAACTAGTGAAATAGTGAGCTATATTATCAGGTACATCTCCGTAAGGTTTCATTTTCCCGGACCTGTTGTCTTGAACCTTGTTTTTCTTCGACATAGTTCCGTTTTCTTTGTTAGGTTTCCATGTCGCCCAGTAAGTCTCTTCCAGCTGATCCAGTACCGACTTGGTTGTGGGAAACCCAGGGATCTTCTTTGTTTTTGTTGAATAATTCTTTTCTAATGGCGATTTTGTCGCAGCTTTGTAAGAATAGTTGTTATAGGTGCTGGCGTTTTGAATATTATTGTACTGGTGGACATAAATAGGGCATTTCTTTTCATTGACGTAGTTTATGGACGAGGTCGCCTTTTTTGTTTTTTTGGTGGAGTGGTCAGCAGAGCTATTCACCTTTGCTTCAGATATTTTCTGGTAATATGAAGAATAGTCCTAAAAAATTAGCTCATGTTGGTTTTGGTATTTAAATAGAATGGGTACAATTTCATATCTCGATAACTTTAGCAAGATAAAATCAGTTATTTTGAGAGTTCGATACCAATTTCTGAAAAAATGCACAATTTAAGTACAAATATACTCTTTTCTGGAGACAAGTATATTTAAACTTATTCAATTCATGAATTTTATTTTAGTTGATTATAATTTAAAAACTAACCTAACATAACCTATTTTATTATTAAATAACCCAATATTTTGTAAAGGTGGTGCAGAATCAGACAGTGAAAATTTTAAGTGCATATCATTATAATATGAAAACAAATGTAAGTATTATGCAGCTATCAGGTACTATTTCCAAAGAAGCATACAACTAAAATATAGACTCAAAATGTATTAGTTTAGGTAAGGTTATTATTTCATTGGAATCCACATTATAGGATTTTCTAGAAAATTTTGCAATTTTTTGAAAAGCACTATCCGATATAAAATAATTTCAAACTCAAATTATAGTGATCAAAATTAAGGTTTGTACAGATAATTACTAACTCAATTTTTTTATGAGTTATTTACTAAAAAAATTGCAAGATTATATTAGATTTGAAAGCAAATGCAAACATTTGATATTTAGACTATTAAATTTTTTCAACCTATTATCTATTCTGGTACAAAACACGATTGATCAGGCTCATGGAGTAAGTTTTAAAAAAGAAATTTAACAGATTAAAGAGTGTTTCATAATTATTATACATTAAGATAGTACTTACGTATTCCTCTGGGTAGTACTGAACTGACTTGGGACTGTTGAGCTGTGTCTCCTCGTACAAAGAATATGCCATCACACAAATTTTCTGAAATCCGAAATTTATTACCTACATGAAGAACACCTAACTTGTCAAAAACAAAAATCAAAATGTGACGTTTGAAATAAGGCGACTTAGATAATATAAAACTCCTCACTAATGATATAAAATATTTATTGGGTCAAATGTTCAATAATAAAAAAATCACTTAAACTTAACATTTGTATTGCAACTAAGATTAATGGGTGCGACAATAGGCATATAGAAATATCTCGAGCCTTGGTGAGGGCTCAGAATTTGAATTTTGAAAGGGAACATCATAAATCTTCTATTACCGAGCAAATGCTACCAATGAACTTCACATTTTCAAAATATAATGGTGAATTTACTTGTTGATACTGATGAATATTCATTTTTAACCATATCAATTTGTAAATCACCCCTTATATTATGTTGCTAAAATGTGAGGTTATATCCACATATTTTTTTTTAATCAACAGATTGTTAAAGGTAAATAAATTAAGGGTTTGTATTTCAATTGCAACATTTTATTGTGGTGGCATTCCTTATGTCTTTTGAAGATTTCTGATTTCTGATTGGTTGTGCACAACAATCCACACTAGAATGTTGGTTGTTGAATTTATAAATGTTTTCACTGATTTTGCTTGGAGTTTTTCTGCCTCACAAATAAAATACAAGATAAAAGTTAAATTGATATACTTACATATGTGATGTTATGTGCATAAAATTTTGGTGAAACAATTTGCAAGTTAAAGAAGATTCTGTTCCTGTAACAGTTAGAATTTCATCCAGGTAAATAATATATGTATATACATATAAGTATGCACTATGTTCATGATATGAACTGTATTTTGAATATTATTACATCTTCACTTAAAGAGAGTATAATAACATTTGTCGTACTGTAAGTTTTATATTGTTAATCTGTTGCTACTTTATGTGATATAGGTAGTCCAGCTACTTTGTCGCATGATATTCACCATAAATATCATTTTGAAGGGAAAAATTTGCAATGATATTGCTAAGAAATTTGTAAAGAATATTAATTATTGATAACTCACTTTGCAAATTTTTCCCTTTCCATTACAATCTTGAGAAATTTTAGGTTACAAACGATAAAGCAAGGTCCCAAGGTTTTAAAATTGTACTTAATTGACAGATTCCTATAAAGACCAACGTAGTAATATATAATGCTGTTTGACGATTTGTTTCCTAAAAGCATAACCTAAAATTCCTTCACATAATTCAAAGAGCTATATACAATGTTTGGACTGTTTGGTCCTTCGGTATAATAGTTTTTAACGAAACTAGGAGTGTGATATTAAGTAAAGATGTTTCCGGCAGATTTGGTTCGTTAAAATTCAAGCGCAACCCAAACTTAACCTGATAGATACCATTTCTATATGACTACATGTTATTTATATCACAAATAGTTTTTAAACAATATTTTCACAACTGCACTTAAGTGCAAAAATACTTAATTATATCACTGGTTTAATATACCATATTACCCATTTTATACATATATTTATAAGAAACTAGGTAGTTTTAAATATACCTATGTACATACATGCTAAATTCGAGTGTAAAGGTCATGTGTATAAAAAGTGTGATACAAATATGGTAACGAATCGTCTGACTTGAAAATTCGCTTGATTCGATGATGTTTTAAAATCTACTCATTTATTAAGTTGATCAGAAAAGAAATGTATCAACTGTATCCACCACTTAAAAAAAGTTAAAAAAAGTGCAAGGTTTGTTATTTACATAGGCACTGGCCTAGAAAAAATCTAAATGGCACTAAATATTATTTCATTCGTACCGAACTAGGCCATTAGGTAAAAATTTTACTTTACGAGTGACTTAGATTTCATTCCTTACAACTTAATTACTTACACCTATTGTAAATCGTAATCATAACACTTATATCTTTATTCGAGGCCCAAGTTATATTCGAAAAGTTGAATTCGCTTCATTTGGCATTGTTACCACTAAATCCACTCTACCAAACGTATTTGCTACATGGCTAATGAACTGTACTCCGAGATAAAACAATATCAGATAAAATTTTAATACAATTCAGTAATCTGATTTTTCATTAAAAAAAAAAAGTTGTTGCAAAAAACTTTAGGTGGTCGATAATATTTACAGTACTTCTTCAGTTAGCAACTTATTTTTAGTACAAAATCAAATGTAGCTGCTAAAATGCCATTAGTGAGCTGATTGAATCAGTGTTAAACTACACATTGAAAAACATTGCATATGACTAATTGATTTGTTATTCCAAACTCTCACGATTCTCTTATTTCTGCGAGTTTAGTCGTTTTTCAATTTTTCTAGAATATCCAAAAATGTTAAAGACACATATATACAGAGTGTAAGGTTATACCTTTAAAAAAATAAACAAATCACAAAATGTTTTGTCTCTCACAAGGATTTTAATGCTTATTGAATAAATTTCTGACTGAAAAATTAGGAAAAATAAACACAATTGTCTTTATGCACTTGTTTTTTTAACAAATATTTATATTTAAACAAAAACCCATTTTTAAAAAAATTTCATGAAACGCCGATACAATGTACGAGTATATTAATCTTATTTTTAGATATTACATAACCTTAGTTTACTACTTATTACCATGGTAATAAGTTACCCTGTATTACCAACTTAATAAAGCAAACAAACAAACCTTGACTGTTTCCAACAGAAGCTAGAACTCCCGTTGTTTAGTAAATATTTTCAAATCGAACGATTACATTCGGTGATCTAGTTAGTATTTTAGTTTTATACAAATGGGTAATATACTTGAAATAAAAATATTATATTATTTCTCTACGTATCTTTAAATAAAAAAAATTATATATACTTTGCACTATACATCTAATCTGTGATTCTGGTTATATAAGTTTTTTTTGTTCTTTCCGAGGAGTATTTCTTTCATATAAAGGATATGTGTTTTTTTAAAATTGAACAAATCAAATTTGAGAGAAAAAAAAACAAAGATTACAGGAAACAACAGTGTTTTGATTGACATTTGTAAAAAAATATTTACTTTAAAAACTTCATTTAAAAAATTGATATCTGAATATGAAAGAAAGCCTCTCACGACAAAGAATTTTCAAGTACAGAAACACAGTAGGTATGCTCACATCTGAATAAAACCACTCTCACGCAATTTTAAAAAGTCTTTAAATTTGTTAAAAAGTTCCTACAAATTCTCTGTAATATTCTCTTCTACATTTTTTTATAAACAACATTTTACGAATATATTTCTTTATATAGTAACACCCATTTTGATTAACCAAGGTATAACAGTTAAGCAGTTTCAAGGGCAGTAATTTAATTTTAGAAATTCCGAAATCGTCAAACACCGAGGGCAGTATGAGGCAGCGTTGTTTTGTTTTGAACTTGGCCGAAAGTGCGTCAACGAGTGACAGTGTATGGCAAAAATAACGACGTAAGGACTCTACATTAGACAACTGTCAACTAAGTCTACCAAGACACAGAACTAGTCTACGAAATGTAAGTTTACAATCAGTTTTAATATCATACAATGCCCATTTATGGTTACGTTTTTACATTTATTGGACAAATCGGTGGAGAAAATGAGGATCGCGTGCTACGGTAAATGTGAATTTGTTCTGCCTGGATTGTATCACATAGATGATAGCCAGCCACAATTTTCACAATTTTTTTAGGGCATTACTTGAATCACTCGATCTTAGATCGGCAACTCCAAATATTTTTTGGATGTTATTTGGATCCCTCAATCTTAGATTAGCAGTTATTATTATTATCTCTGATTTTATTTGACTTGCTCGATCTTAATCAGCAGTATCAAAATCTTTCAAATATCATATGAATCATTCAATCTTAGATCAGCAGTTTCGTATGTCTATCACATATTTTTCGAATCATTCAATCTTATATTGGTACTTCCAAATATTTGAAACACTAAATCTTAGGTTAGCAATTCCAAGTATCTTTCAGATATTATTTGAATCAATCAATTTTACATCAGCAGTTCCAAATACTTTTCAGATATTGGAATCACTGATTCCTAGATCAGCACTTTCAAATATTGTTCAGATGTTATCACTAAATCTTTCAGATATTGTTTGAATCTCTCAATCTTAGGTCAGCACTTACAACAATTTTTCACATTATTTAAATCACTCAGTCGTATATCAGCAGTTCCAAACATTTTTCAGATATTATTCAAATCACTCAATTTTAGATCAGCACTTCTAAATATATTTCAGATATTATTCGAATCACTCAATCTTATATCAACAGTTCCAAATAGTTTTCAGATATTATTCGAATCACTCAGTCTTAAATCAGCACTACCAAACATTTTTAGATATTGTGCAATGATTTCAATTTTACAAGACATATTTACCTACTATTCAGACTTAAAAGAAAACTACAGTGTGAAATGCTTATATAAAAATTGTGACTATTGGCAATCTATATGAAGGGATTCAATCCAGTTTCAAGTGGTTATATAATTGAACTCAGAAACATTACTTTTGAAACCAAGAAATCTTTTAATAAAATAACTACCTACTTGCACTACCCCACATGTCAAATTTATGCATAATCACAAAATTTAGTCGAAAGATTACCAACCTAAAGCGTAAAGTTGACAGGAGTGTGAAAGTTTCTTTCCAAAATTCGAATGTAGTTGAAGGGTGTGGAGACAAAGATTAATAAAAATTTCCAGATATAAACAAAACGTCTATCCAGTCTTGCCAACTTAGTACGCTCAAGGCAGCTAGTTTTAAATCGATGAAATATACAGCTTAAGATTTGAAAAATTGAGTTTCGCTTTGGATTCACACAGAAACTGTACACAAATTCAAATGTTTGTACTCTTTTCGTTTCCATGTCCGTCCAAACCGTTCGTTTCACAAGAACCCCCATCGTCAGGAAGAGGAAAGGTCAAACTCCATAATCAAATATGCTTACAAAGTAGACAAAATATACATTTTGCATCTCTTAAACTTTAAACAGTCTGTGAAAGGGCTCCGCCCCATCTGATAATCCTAAGAAATATTTTTAATATCGTTTATAAAACATTTACAATTGGCCATCGTTCCTCGCCTTTCGAGTGAATATAAAAATTTCAACCTCAGAAGTACGTAATAAGAAACAAATTTTTTAGTTACATCGTGTTTCATTTAACAGAACTGTTAGTAAGCGCATACAGGGTGTTCCAGAGATGTAACACAAATATTAAACTTTTTAAGCAAAGAATAATTGCGAAAACTTATATACCTACTTGCACAATGAATATTTTCATTTTCTACGTGTTTCAGTATTCTGAAAAAAATTTACTTATGCTTGAAATAAGCTTGATATTACTTGACATTGTTACCGAAAAATAATATGAAATATCAAATCCAATCCTAATTATATAACATTAACTTTTTTATCAATTACATAATTGGAAATTACACTATTCAAAATATAGAAACAAATTTGGAGATGCGAAAAGAAATTGTTACTTACTTTAATCTTCTGAATTGTAATTTATATATGGGACACTGGTTTTGCCGCAGTTCTGCCACAATATTAGATTAGCCGATACTGGTAGTAACAACACTTCATTAAAACTCCACTGTCGAAGGAAATCCACAGCAGTGGCCGAAAAATGCATTGACTAACCAATTCAAATTAAAGTCAATGTAGTCAATTCAATTTTTGATTCGATTTAATATGCACCATCTATAATGGCGTTCTTTAGAATTATAAAAGAAGTGTTGCAGTTGCATTTTAGTAACTTTACCATCTAGAATATAACTATAACAATATAATGATTCTAACATTTATGTTTTGTTCATGATAAAGATTCCATGATATTTCGTTAGTTATCGTTAGTTTCATTGAAAATTTAATAACGAGCTTAATTTTCATTATTATGAGTAGTTGTAGAAAAAAATAGTGTGAGCAACTCACATTTAATGACTATTATGACCCTCTTATTCATTAGAATACTTGCCTATGGCGAGTATAGCAATTCTCATATTCACAACTTAATAGTTATCATTAAATGCTTATTGTATAATACACTAATTGTTACTACTTATGTTCGATCAACTTTGGATTTTATATTACCCATTCCACATTTCTCCGAAACACCCTATACATCGATTTAGTTCATAATACAAAGCATACAAAATTAAGTTGTAGAAGATTTCGCCGATGGATCTCATTGAACTCGAGGTGATTTCATCTAAAACAATATCGAGAGAGATATAAAAAAACCAATCTCTTAAGCACAAGCCACTCCCACTGCTCACGTTGCCACCTTTTTTTTTAACCGTAGATTTAGTAGTTTTAGTTTAGATTAAGATGAATCTGTGGATGATGAGGGATGATCGGGCCACACTGATGGCAGACTACCCACAAGGGGTGAGATGGATATTTCGCAGGGCGACGGGGACCGCCCCTTTAGCTTGTCTCACCAGCAGTAAACGGACAGCTCGCCGGTGTGGTCCCCTGTGTGCTGCCAGGGCGTCACAGACCTGGTCTTCAACTGGAAACAGAAAGAAGTGATAAGAATAGCGATTTATAAAACGTTTATAGTAATTCGTTATAATGCAATTTACTCTAGAGATATATCAAATCTGTATGAATCGTGCAAGTTATATAAATCATTATGATTCATTGAGGGACCGAATAACAAAAACCGACATAAACAACAGGGCAGGCCTAGAAGTTCTAATAGGGGGTCCACCACCACAGAGCTTAGCCCGAGAGCAACAAGGGCAGATCAAAGATTCCTAACTAAAGCTAAGGCAGTGCATTATAAATCTGTAACTGGCGACACTGGTGGTGAGCAGGTTCATAAGCCATGATGTAACAACCTGAAAAACCATGATACTATAAATATACAAAACCACTATTTCATAGAATGCTTTGTAATTTATTAGTATGTTTTTTAATAGTTTAATAAACATACGATGTGGTGACAGTGTCGAAAACATGTAGGTACTAAAATAAACGCACCTTTATACAAATAATTTTTCTGAATTATTCGAACGATACGGTATAAAAACTATAAAAAATATAAAGCAGGTTTTTACTATGATCGATTCAGTTACTTTAGGACATCTATTAAAATTAAAGTAAATACGTAAACTGAATTTTGTTGAAAATAATTTATCCAATGATTGTTCAATACAGTTCTAAAATTTTACACATAATAAGAAGGGTAATACCAGAATCCCTGGGATTATCAAAAAGCATTATTGTATCTTTACGAATACGCAGGAATTTGTTAATCAATTTGGACATTGTTTTTTAAATGTGTACAAAATGTCAACACAAATTAAGTTATTTTGGCAATTGTCGTTAAAACCATCAAATATTAATTAAGTTTCTAGTTATCAAAATTTTTAAATATGGTTTTAATAACTATTTTGAATTTATAAAGTAAAAACTGAATTTTAACCTACCCCTGCGTTAGCAGACGTATTTGGAAATAAGTTTATATAGAAGATCCTCCTTACTTTTTAGCAAGGAATCGTCCCTGAAAGTTTTTCGTAGTATTAAAGAAAGGCTAGCAGTGTTTTAAAATATTAAGTGGCTCACCCTGTATATAGTGACGAATTATTCCAGTGAATAATATGGAATATTTCTATAGTACCAAAATTTTTGCATTTTTGCTCAATGTTCAGATGACTTCCCCGCGTATCCCGAGCCATCTGAGGAGGCATGACAAAAAAAGTGGCGGGTTAACGCTCTCTAATATCATCAACAGATATGCCGAGCATCACCCACGTCCCGAAACATCTGCAGCTAGCAGGCGAAGGCGCCCACGCTTTCCCGGTTACGCAACCGCCAAATTATGCCAAAAAAAAAAAAAGAAATCTGCTCACAGACACGTAGAAACGCAATTATCTATCATTTGAAGGTGAAGGTCGACACCGAGGAAACATGCGCGCGCGTTGAGGCAGGTTTTTGTTTATAATAGTTTCGATAATACGTTCTATTATTACGACTTTGAATGCTTTTAGATGTTCCTGGAAACGGGCCAAATTCTTCGGCAGTTCGGTACGGATTTCTACGCTTTTGTTTTGCGGGACAAACAGCGGAAGGCCTGCCTCGCAGCCATCTAGATAATGATCTCTTAGGTGTGGAATATGTGGGGTATTGAAAATGCTAGGTACTCGTACAGCACGATTCAACTATGTAAGAAATATAAAAACTAAAAAGATACAGGATTTAACAATTCGGCAAATCGTAAAAATTGCTGCAGTACTTCACTGAGAATGGAAATAACATATTTTAATAAAATTTAAATATTCAAGATAGGGATGCCCTGAAATCTTAAATTAGTAATGCTCAAGCAATTAACAAAACGTAAATATCATTTTTCATTTAAAAAGACAAAAAGAAACACAATTTTAATTATTCATAAACAACGAAAAGAGGCAAAATATTAATTTTCTATAACTAAAAAAATATATGTAAATTTGTAGTCAACGCATCCTCGCAACAGGTATTACACAAAAAAGGTTTTGTTATGGTTCTGTATATGTGATTTCCGTGTTTACCTTTTAGTTGTTTAACAATTTTTGATAGTCTATCATAACGTCTAGGATATATAGAATATTTTGAAGAAAAGAAGCTGATTGAAAAGGAGGAATTGCATCTGAAGATGAAATATTCACTTTATTTAAATTTAGGAATATTTTTTTATAGCTTTAATAAATTTACATTTACTGTCATTTACATTAATGTATCTATTTCTAGTAATCGCTTCTAAATTCTTGTAAAAATAAATTAATTTGATGGTATACATTTTCTTAGCATCTTTGTAAATAATATACAAGGTAATATTCGGTTTGTGCAGTTTCAATTGTGACAAGCTCATTGCAGGTTGCCTAAGTTTATGACATCACACTATAAGAATTTATTTCGTTATTCAAAATAGTCTGCCTTTAAAATGTTGCTACCTCCGAAAAAAATATTTCATTTTACTCTAAATACATACACTTTTTAATTTTCCGCGTCGCAGGCTTTGTGTACTCGTACAACAAACGCCAAGAAAGAATCCCGCGATTTTCGGATACACGATACAGGGTGACCCAAGTCAGTATCCCGTTAATTGTTTATTTTGGATAGTTTTTGTTTATTACCAACAACTTCAGCGTGGATTTTATAAATTACACTACCAGATAAGTCAAAGTATAGGTATAAGTTTGTAGGCCGTCAGGGGGCATTGCGATCGACGACCTCAGATCTCACAAATTTTGTCAATAGTATTTATTACATTTATTACTTTTGTTACTGTGTTGTAAGAGTTTAAGTAACAAATTGCTTCTTTTGAGAAACGTAACTGCATACATACAATGTGCTAGAAGTCACAAGCCGCATAAACGAAAGTTTAGTTAGATTTCGGTGTGAGGCAGGCCAGCAGGGCTAACGACTAACTCCATAAGCACTGAGAAAAAAAATTATCACACTAAATTTTTATGGCTGTTGCAGATATTTTTAAGTATCATCATCGACAAAATTTAAAAAAAAACTACACGGATTTAGAAAAAAAACTATTAAGATACATCGAGTTATGCCAAGAAAAACGTTTATACCTACATAATGCTGCTGCCAAGAAATACAACAGAATAATATATTTCGAGTAGCATTCACGAAATATTTACATTTTCAAGTTCAAAATGCAGCATCGTCCAAACTAAATTTGAAAAAAAAAACAACTAAAGTTTATAATTATCCACCAACCGAAATCGCTCCTATAAATTACAATAACAAGCCGCCCTTTCCACCTCTCAAGGGGTCGTTTGTGTTTCAATTGCCCCCAAATTAAATCTAAAGAAAACGTTGGTTGAATAATTATAGGGAAAAGGGATTCTGGATTTATATGACGCACCCCGTAACTAGTAGTATCGCAAAGTGAAAAGAATAAGGAAGCCGGCGCGCAAGGGGGTTTTTTATATCTTTTTTGTCATTACCGGTGAGCCGGAGAGGCGCAGTCCTCGAAATATTTTAAAAGCACTCCACAAAGTCTGCATAAAATTCACGCCGAAATGACCCTTAAAGGCAGTAATTACACGGTTCTTTTTTTAGCGAATACTTTTTTCATACTCTCTGAGAATTCGTTTCGGTAGTGGCACAATGTATGAACCAGGAGTTGCCATACACCTTCAACGTTATTTTTCATGTAGGTACACAAAGCAACTCCGTTCTCATTTTTTTTTGGCACAGTGGAAAAGTTTAATTTGAGAAATTTTTTTTGCAAATTTAAAAAATCATCTAATATACGGAGTGGAAAATAATTAAAACATCCAAGGATAAAGCCATGCTACCGTGGTGTGAATATACATATAATGCAAATGGTGTGACGTCACTTGAGAGCAAGACTGACGAAATCATATGTTGGCATGAAAATGCAACTATCTGTCATTTTTTTAATAATCCAGATCTGTTGCTGCTTAAACATCTTCACATAATTCATTTTATTGTGCAAAACAGTAACGTTTGTTCTTTGACACAATATATAAGGTTACGTTCAGACTTTATATGCATAAACTGATTTTTGAAATGTGACTCATACCATATGTAAATGCAGAAATTACAGATTTTACGTATACGATCAACTTAAATTGTCTGTTTATATAATAGTATAGTAGTATATGTATATTAGCGACCGCGGTGTCAATATAGTACAAATCAGATATTTGAGCTGGTCTCAGGTGACGTCATTAGCAGACAGGATGAAATTAAGCCGATTATTATCTAACTAGAACCGTTTTAAGATTGCCATTACGTCACGAGTGTGTCCTAATATCAAAGACACTCGTTGCGGACGTGAATTCATTATTAAACGCTCTAAAAAGAGATACAATAATGATATAAATGTCTTCATAATCTCAATCTATCACAGACAACTGTTCCAATATTTTTTGTGTATTAGAGTGAAAGAAAATGGAGGACGTTTGTCGGGTATTAATTTTAGACTGTAGTTTGACTAGCGCATTTAAAACAAAACAGAACTGACACTCAGATTAAAAGTTTGACAGTTGTTTTGATCGTGTCTTCGTACTAACTGTTGTATATATATTTTCTGAGCGTTGAAATATCGATTTTTTGGCATATTTTCGTATCCAGTAATACCAGTATTAAAATTTGCGAGATATCCAGATTTGGGAATTGTCAAGATTTCACATTTCAATTATATGAAAACAGTGACTAATATGACGAGGATTTTTCGTCTTAGTTCATACGAATATTGCTTGTGACGCAATGGAAAAGATATAGCGGTTTTAGGTAGAAAACAAAGCTTGAACTCTTCACCTGACGTAACTTTACTGGTGACAAAATGTCACTCTGTATGAATTTCGACCTGTAGCTAAAATATTGATAAAGATATGTGAATAAAAAAACTGTATAACATTTAATGGATATTTTGAAATTCAATTAGAAATGTATGTTTTATAAAGCTTTCTATTTAAACAGAGTTGCAGATTTTTCATTAAAAAAGGAACTTCCAAGGAATACATTTATATTTTTTGTTTAAAACAGGATGAAGGTATTATAAAAGACATTTTATAAGATATTTTTTTTAATTTAATTCGTTTGGATTGGTTTAGTAAATTTAACAGCGGAAAACATGCCCACACAGTGATTGCATGACAATCTTGACTATTTGCAGGATCAATAAATAAACAAAATATTATGCAAACTATCAAAATAAATATACGACATGTAAGAAAAAAAGGGGAAAATCATAAAAACAGCAAATAGAGTATTCCAATTAAAAAAAAAAAAGTTTGGTTTTTATCCTCGAAATGCAAGTCAATTGTTTTTCTATATATTGCTTCGTAAAATTTCCTAAAACTGTGGTGTTTACCATTTTTTCCTGTACAGAAAGGTAAAAAAGATAAAAGGGGGTTATGTTATCTGAATTAGCCTGTACATAAAAATAATTTACTAGTAAAGATTGAAATGACACGGGCAGGAGAAGGCCTTAAACATTTTGTGAAGATATTTCATAGTTTCTCTGACATATTGTATAAAAAAGATACTTATTTAACTTTTTTTCTTTCCACTTCATATAAAAAGCTAAAGCCTAAGAGTTGTGTGGAACACCGGCAACACTGCATAACTGATCTATGTTATGCATCATTATTATATTATTTATAGATAGATAGAGAAATCAGCAGCTCTCAACAAGTTTTATATAAAAAAACAATTATTATATTTATTTTAAATTTTCCTAATTTTTTCACAAAAAAAAACTATTAGACAGTAAACTGTACACACCTAAGATTCACCCTATGATAATATGGTAAAGCATCATTTTTTACAATTATTCGATTTTTTACAATTATTTTTCCAACGCCGCCACTGGAAGGAATACCGCCCTGTAGCAATGACCCAAAGTAATACTGTTACGTTGCCTGCTTGCAAAAGGGTTTGTCACAGTTAACAAACAAAAAAAAATATATTTAATATTCCCGATCCATTAGCAAATACCTCGACTCAAGTTCGCACCAGGGGTTGGCCATCACCGAGGTCCGCGTACCTCGTACGTACGTAAGACCCTGTAATAAGCACCGTCCTATTATGGTAAATGACTCGCAGGTGAGGCAGAAATCGATGCACTGATGTAGTCCGGGCGGAAGAGGATGAAATATTCACGAAAACTTGTTGCTTCCCCGCAAAAATCGATGGAAAATAGTAGATAACGAGGAATATACATTTATACATTGTACACTAATGCAAAAAATTAAAGGATCAAAAGAATTCCCGAAATTTTTCCGTGATTTTTGACAGACTGTATTTAGGTGAAAAATGGTCGTATCGGGAATTAAAAAAAAACATTTTGAAGCTCTAAGATTCTAGTATTTAGATCTTTCGGTCGAAATTTTTTAGGAGCTACGGTTATGCAATTTTAAGAAATAGCGTGACGAAAAAATTTTGCAAATTTTCTTTTTTTTCCTTAATCCACGGACTTGGAAACATTTTTTTCAGCTAAGCCATTGCATGGATCAGACAGCTTGTTTATTCAGCTTCAATTTCCTTTTTTTTTTAATTTCGATACGACCATTTGTCGTCGAAATAATACTTTTAATGGAAAAGGATCCTTTTGTCTTCAATCATCGATATCTCGGCTACAAATGGTCGTGCAGAGAATTGAAGGGCAGTTTCTGGAATAAATTTCCTGTAACATGCTTCTGCAACTTTTCGAATTTTTTTTTTTCTTTTACACGAATTTTAAAAAATAGGAAATATAGGATAATTTACGTTTTTTTAGAAAATTGACGGTTAAATTAGAAATATTCACGAAATGAATAATGTTAAGCATGACTTTTACAGTTCGATATATCCAGAAGAACCCTGTGAAGTTTCATTTCGATCTAGCGAACCGTTTCTTCGTTTCAAACAGTCAAACTTTTGAAAAAAATTAAAGGGTCACGTTTTTTGAGTTTAACACTTTTTAATCGTGGTTTAAAATGGGAAAAAATATTTTTCTTGAGGTTTTCTCACATTTTTACCACAAATAACGTTTAAATTAATAAAAAAAAGAAAATCGAAAAATTTTCGAAATTCTTTTTTGTCTTTTTTTTTTTGGAAAACCTTCCGGACATTGAAGAAAACAAAATCCAATTGTTTCCAGCAAGATTCGGCTTTTTCGTCCTATGCTTCTGTTCATCAACTTTTAATTAAATTAAAATTAAAGTTGATGACCCAAACCAGATTTCGACCCCGATTCATACCGTTTTTTGAGACAAATTTCTAATTAATTTTTGTGCAGTCTGTAATCACTTAAGAAATAGTTTTTTTCAAACCTACCCATTTTCTCTCTGAAAAAAAAATTTAATTTTTTTTCATCAATTTAAACGTTAATCGTTTAAAAATGTGAGAAAACCTGACCCTTTAATTTTTTTCAAACGTTTGTTTGAAACAAAGAAACGGTTCGCTAGATGGAGATGAAACTTCACAGGGTTCTTCTGGGTATATCGAACTGTAAAAGTCATGCTTAACATTAGTCATTTCGTGAATATTTCTAATTTAGCCGTCAATCTAAGTTTCTAAAAAACCATTACCCTTTTTTCCTGTTTTTTAAAATTCGTGTAAAAGATGAAAAAAATTTTTTTTCCGAAAAGTTGCGGCAGTGTTATAGGAAAATTATTCCAATTTTCGAAACTGCCCTTCAATTCTTTGTACGTCCATTTGCCGCCGAGATATCGATGTTTGAAGACAAGACTAAAAAATTACTAAAAAATTTTGGAAATTCTTTTGGCTCTTTAATTTTTTGCATTAGTTTATATATATATTAATATTAACACACAAAAAATATTCGCGCTATAAAAGAAATGTACAAATTGTATATATAGGGTGTTTCTTCATTATTGTGAAAAAGTTTAAAGAGCGATTCTTTACCAAAAAAGTAAGGCTGACCGGAAACGTCTGCCATCAGACATACACCCGTCTACAAGGGATAGCGCAAATTATATCCAAAATAAACATCTATATATTCCTATATTATAGAAAAATTAAGGAGAATAGGTAACAAAATTAATATTGGCACATCTTTTCAGACAGTGTTGCAGAGCTGCAGAACCACCAAAATTTAATTTATGATATCGAATGATTTTAGCTATTTACTACATATTGGGGAGTGTAATTCAAAGCCACCTATGGCACACAGCCTGTGAAGTATTATTTCTCACAATATAATTAGTTAAAAATATGTTAGTTAGTCTCGTGGTGTGGAAATATTATGGTGTCCGTCAGACGGCTCAATTTGGTCCTCTCTGACATGACGTCACCTGAGACCACGTCCAACAAGTTGAATTTCCTCATTTACAGATGGTATAAATCGTATTTAAAAAGTCAGTTGAAGTATGTAGAATCTAAAAGTAAACGCAATCTTAAATATTGTATCAAGATTAAAGCAACAGTCTGCAACAGCTCTAGACTATTAGAAAAACGACAGACGGCTGCATTATTATTTCAATATATGTATTATGTATACCATAATTTCGACAATCTTGCTCTCAAATGACGTCATCACATGCTGTTAGGCACATCATACTACTCGTATTTTCACACCACGGTTATTATAAATTGTTGTATTTTGAACTCGTTATACCTCAAGAGTTAAGTGACTATTAAGTTTGCAAATATCACTGACCTGTTGCATTTTCTCGAAATCGAGGTATGGCCTCTGGATATGTGCGTGTCGTGCGTGCTTGGTGCGTTTTCTGGGCGACACCTCGTAGTGGAGGAGCTTGGGTGGGGGGCTCATGGAGCGGCCCTTATTCAGCAGCGTTCTGCGCTCGGGCTTGACGGCTTCCAGAGGCGGGGACGTCCTGAACTGGACGGGGGTTGTCCTGGTGGTCAACAGGTGGACCTGCAATTTTCCACCGCGCATAAAATCAACTGCAACCTAATCTGGACATCCGGGAACCATGAGCAAAACAGTAGTTATGACAGAATATTAATTTAAAAAATTAACTTGAAGGTATATCACTTATTTAATTATGTGTTTTCGGAAAGGGGAATAGGAACTTGTATCGCTATTTTTACCAGTAGAAAACAGACCTTGCTCATAGTTTCTAGACACGGGACATTATATCCAAGTTTATATTTTTTTATTAATAACTTTTATTGCTAACTTCTTAAAAAATTTAAGCGTACAATTTTAACAATATGCCTCTCATAATTTGAACAGAAGTTACGACACTTAACAAAAAACGTGACAACCCTTGGATATCTCTCGTCCCATCTCTTTGATGTCGAGGTAATACGAGTGGAGCGTCTCGACGGTACCGGACAAAGGAAAAAAATTAATAATCCTCTATCCTTAAGGATGTATTTAATTACCTCGTCGTCCGATGAGCCGGAATGTTCGATATGAACCCCATCCTCGCCGTAGCACTTCAGGTACGGTGAGCAAGGCGAAGACGGACTGAGGTTGCCATAGTGAGACATGTTCTCTTCGTTTTCCGGAGTATACCTGAAAATGTGGGGCTGTCGTTAGAATTCCGAGTCGTTTTTATTGGATTTTCTCTTAAAAAACGATGAAGATATGTGGAAGTGTCCGATTCTATAAAAGGAATGAAATAATTCAGCATGTAATCGCCTGTATGGCGGAAGGAGTCTGCTGGAAGGTGTCAAGTACAATATACAGGGTTGTTCCTACAGACAAGGAGATATAAAAAGTCTACACGAACATGGATCCGAAAACAATTAATTACAAAAAATAGGGTTATAAAAGGGACACTGAATACTATCATGGAAGAATAGCTTTTCCTCACAGTGGTGGAAAAAAATTGTTCCTATTTTTATCTTCTATAATGTATCAGTAAAAGAATCAATCTGCAACTTTTTTACCAAGTTTTCTATGTTATATTCATAGTGAACTTTTTCTTTAAAATGGCGTTTGCTATGTGCTGTTTCTCTTTACAGACGTACAGATTTCAATAATGACGCTCGAAGAAAACATAATACTATGTTTAAATAAAATGTATGACAAAATCTCTAAAAATATTTTTTAATATGCAACATTTTAATAGCAAAATATTTATATTTCTTTATTGCTAGCGTTTGGAAATTCCGATATACCACATTAATCTTTATTTTTTGTTGTAATTTCGACAACAATTCCAACAAACACAAATCTATATCTGCCTAAGTTTTGGTTTAAAGTTACTATCGAATTTTGTAATAAAAAATATGATAAAGAGGTTAAGACAGATTGCTTTGACCTATTGTTTAAATTAATTGCTGGTTGTTTATGTTTTGTAAGTTTTTCAAAACTTAAAAAGTCCAAAAAAATTCATATGTACGGGGTGAGTCATATTCGACATTGTTGGGAGATTTCTATTTCCCGAAAGGATATGTGGCGGCATGTTACAATTACATTTTTATATTTAGTTGTGGGGTTTTACCAGGGTTAGAAGTAGGTACACGACCGAGAGGGCAAATTTATCTTAGATCAGGCAAAGAAACGACATTATTAGTATGGGTTAAGTCTTGTTCCCGATCGGTCGTGCTGTCCTGTAAAGAAGCGTTCAATAAAGTTATATTGTTACACGTTGCGTTTTTCTTTGGATGAACTCGAAGCACCCATAGATAGAAATAAAATAGTTAAAATGTCACCAGCTCGATTTTCAAAAATAAGTTGAACAACGAAATCCACATTACGATACCTTAATTAGCTTACATGGCGTTTTTCAAAAAAAAGATATTTAGCTTCCGTTATAACATTTTTACTATACCCTTTGTGACTATACGAGTAGATACATTATTTTTAATCGTTAATAGAGACATCAACTAAAGTCAGGTACCTAGTGTAACTTATTGTGTATTGTAAGTTATTATTAAGAATTACTAAAAAAAATGTACCTATTCAGTATTCACCGTAAGAAAATGCCCTCTTGTTCTAGTAAAGTATCGCTTGAAGGTAGTAACATCGTGTTAGCAAAATAATTTTTATTAAGCTTGGAACATATTTTCACACTAATAAGAAATATTTCAATTATAATACAGATTATCTTTCAGGGAAATAGGGGAAATCAAATGTTCTTGAAAAGCAAAGTTGTTTGGCACGCCTTCCATTACCTTACCTCCGACTATAAACTTCCCCGATCTGAGACCACTTCCTTTTCTCGGCGAGACAAACCGACGCCGCCCTCAGGGGCCTCGGTGGCCTCTCCACCTTGCTGTTGCTGTTTATGACCTCCAACTCTTCCTCGGAGCTGTGGGGGTCGTGCTGATCGGGGGCTGGGCTCTCCATCGAACACCCTGTATCTGCCGGGGAAACGCTGCACATTCGGTCGGAAATCACTGCAAATAAATAAATATTTAAGTCTATGAACATTTACTCTATTTTATAATGAAAATATACTTTCTATGACGAGACAAATATTTGACAAGGTGACCCTAGAACCGATGGTTGGCTGTCATCACAGGAAAACGCTAAAAGGAAGTTGTAGCAAGATGTTAAAATTGTATTTAACTTAAAGTTAAGTACTGATGGTATAGTCTTTCCGATATCAATTGAAGAACCAAAAGACGTTGACAGTATGTACCAGGTTTGGTCGCTGACGCAGCAACTCGGCATTGAAATATTTGAAAAACTTGTTCCCATATTTATTTAACCATACCCATATAGCGGTCTGGACGAATTAAAACCCGAAGGTGGTAGAAATGTATACGCCCAGTTGACGAATGCGAGCGCGGGCAAACGAAATCTAACACAACTGTATTGGGCCACTGGGCAATAAATCTCAGCTGTTGACAAGCGTTGATAAATTGCCCAGCAGTGCAGTGCAGCAATGCGGAATTTGGTGTGATTCAGGTAATTTTAATTTTTTATAGGCATCTATTAATCATTGATATTACAATTTCGAAAGGGAGAAATAATATTATTACAACATGGCATTTTGGAGACGGAATAAAACGAAATTTACCATCAATATAATAAAATTGTTTGAGGACTTAAATATTTAAAATATGTTGTTGGCCAAATGAGCATATAATAGAAATTTTCTACACAATATGTACAACTTATAAGTTTTTACCTTTAGCAGAAAACTTTTTTAGGGACGCCTATGAGTCATTAAATTTTATTGCCAGGCGTTTTTTACATGTTCAACTGACTTCGAAAAGACTATACTTAAGGCTGGCAAGAAATCGCACTTGTAGTAAGACAATGATGGATCAAAAAATCCATCTAAACTATTAAAATTTTGAAATACAAGGATTACTTCAATTTTTGAAAGTGAAAGATCACTTAAAACATGAGTACCCATGTAACTATCGGAATGTACCTTTCATGTTTTGTTAAGAATTATGCAAAAAACTAGTGTTTCATATTTTGGAAGAGGTTGAAGATAGAAAAATTTTTTAAAGAAATTTGTAGAATATAAAGTGGACTCTCCCATAATGCTATAATATATGTATGAAAATGAGAACAATTTCGATGACGTTACTACCCTTAGGTCTGGAAACTTACCAAGAGAGAATTTTAAGTCGTATACTTCATGATTTTGCTACAAAGATCCCTGCTTGCGGTTTCCTGTTTGATCTTTTCGTTTTCTCACAGTATATGTAAACCAGCGAATTCATATAAGCGGTAATCATAAAACGCGCATAGCAATTTTTAAGAGCTATGATACAACAATAATTTTCTAGGATTTTGTCGATATTAATACAAACTCTTTAACATTTTAATGTAAAATGTAATTGTACTAATTATTAGAGAGCTTTATTTGAGAATCTCGTTAACGTTATAATAACATTAGTAAACGCAGTCGTATCATACAAGTAAAATGTTATGTCTTGCCGAACTCAGTTGAACATGCCTAGCAATAAAATTTAATGAGTTTCATAAGCGTCCCTAAAAATATATCTGCTAAAGGTAAAAAATGATAATAATTTGTATATAATGTGTAGAAAATTTCTATTATATGTTCATTTGGCCAACAACATATTTTAATTATTTATGTTCTCAAATAATTTTATTATATTGATAGTAAATTTCGTTCCAAAAGGTCTTCAAAATGCCATATTGTAGTAATATTAGTAAACAAAATATCCCTCTTATTTCTCCCTTCGCAATTGTAATATGAATGATTAATAGAAGGTGCCTATAATAAATTAAAATTACTTGATTCACACCAAATTCTGCATTGCTGCATTGCACTGCTAGGCAATTTGTCAAACCACTTGTCAATAACTGAGATTTATTGCCCAATCGCCCAGTGCGGCTGTGTTATACGCCGTTTGCCGCGTACGCATTCTTCAACTGGGCGTATACATTTCTACCACTTCCATGTTTAGTTTGACGTGACCTGTATATGGGTATGGCTAAATAAATATGGGAACAAGTTTTTTAAATATTTAAATGCCGAGTTGCTGCGTCAGCGTCCGAACCCGATACATAGCCCACGCGAGATTTCTCTTGAAATGGCCGCCAACCATCAGTTCGGATCACCCTGTACATTGATAGTAACACAAATAAATTATAAGTATCTGTGATAGTAAGGATGACTCTTTTCCTGGTGAGTCTCTTCATACTAGGCCGTAATCTGGTTCGGATACCCGTGCTCTCAGAAATCGGCCTCGAGACGTTCCACGACCAAGATGATACTCTCTATTAACGCAATTACTGCCCTTTACCACCGCCCCGGCCGTAATTGTTTATTACGTCTAACAATTCCCTATCCAATTACGTAACACGCTGATCAATAATTATAAGGCCAATATTCGGCCGTCCTCGACAAGGAAATGGCAATTACACTTGTTTTGCGAAGAATGTAAATCGACAGGGTCGACGAACACAGTTTTTCATCACACGCCGTATAAATTGCGTTTTCCTCTGGCTCAAAATGGAACCAACCTTTCCCTTGAAGGAGAAAATAATGTTACTACTCATCATTTATTTAGTAGCGCGAAGATGCTCAAAGTTCGAACATCCGTATTTAATATTTTTAAAGAGAACAAGGCGAACATTAGGGGGTTTTACCATACGTCAAAGATAATTGAAAACGTACATGTGTTTTTGAAAAACAAAAACTTACCTCAAACATATTTTTTACAAATTGTTCTAGCGTTGCCAAACTCGGTTCGTCCTTGAATATTAGAATATCTAAGAACATTTTGGCAGACTATTCTGTTTATTTACCTATTCGAGTTATTCTATAAATAATGTAGGAATTTAAAACTAACCGAAATATTTTTGTTAAAAAAATTGTTCCAACAACCTTCTCATTTTTTACGTTAACATTTGTAATTTTTTGCCTTAATTTTACTTTAACCCTTCAATTTTAGATATATGTTGAACCCCTTAAGCAAAAAAAGTAGAAAAATAAAATTTTGCTTAGGTATTTAATAGAACAAAACTTATATCATTGCAAATGACGTCAAATGGATATTTCGACAATGTAAATTTCGTTATATAACATTATTAAAATATATCAACCATTAAATATCGCGAGCAGACAAGTTTTTGCCACCTGGAAAGTTACCAGTTCATTTAGCTGTCACGCCTGTTTTTTTTTGTACGAATTGAATTTCTGCAAGAAATTGTTGTATTTGATTATGTTTGATTGCAACACCGGAAAAATTTGAATTATACGGTTTAATTAAAAAACTTAAAAAGTACGTATTGGTACAAAAAATTCTCTTGTGTTGTCTTTTTTCAACCGAAAAAATTTCCGAAATAAATTAGCATTCCATTAAAATGAGTTATATTTCTTTACTTTCTTTTTTGCAACGTTGGCTAGATGTGCGAGGTTATAAAAAAAATTAAGGCGTGCAAGTTTTTCTGAAACAAATTGAAATATTTTGTTCAAAATATCTCATACTTATCAACCCCAACTGCAAATTACTAAAAAAAAAAGTTGCCCTTGAAACTAGTTCTTGAAAATGACTTAACTTCTTTCATCAATTGAATGTTTTGATTTATTTTTTAATCTAAAAAGGCTTTTACAGTTTCTAGTCGAATATCATTAATAGGAATCCTCAGTATACACTTTAGATATAAACATTTTATTAGGCAGTTCCACAGTGTTAGGTTTTGGGTCCTACATTAATGCCTAAGTACATTAACGATCTTGAACTGGGTTCCTTACAAATCAGTAGGCGTTCTATAATCATTTTTGTTTACATTTCAAAACAATACGTGTACCTATGCATGTTTCTGGTAATGTATCCAGTTGTTTTTGACTGGCCACAACTGTATTTTGGTACCAAAAGAGGTTAAACGAACAAATAAAACTACCAGCCGCCAGGACGTGATTTTGGTCGATGGCGGTGTTGTTTTTTCCACCGCTCGTCTTTTGTTATGCAAGTGATGTACGGCGCCACACCCTACGAATTGTTCATGCACATCGATGTCTTTTAATTTATTGTCTACTCCATTCGCGGCACAGCCATCCTTGTAGGTGCGCATTGTTTTGTGCGGGACATGTCTCACATTAAACACAGCGGCTCCCAACCTTTTCTAGGTATACTATTGTTTATTTAAAACTGGACCTTGAAAAAATCAAAGTCAATAAACCCCCAAGCCCAGAGGCTAGTGTCCTGAACTCTCTTTCGACCAAAAAGAGAGTCGTGAAAACGTGGAAGCTAGGAGATATGATGCAGAGAGTTTGGTAAAGATCGATCCATATCTGTATAGTTGTGTAATTATTCAATTGCGGTTGGTATTAATCTTTTTTAAAATAACTGAATGGGTGTATATTTGTTCAGGAAAAAAGGAAATGCAAAATTCACTATTTGATTTTTTAGTAACACAACGTATCCACCACAACCACTCAACAATTTCCAGGAACTGGAAATCAAATGATTGCATTCTGAGCAGAATAATAATGAAGTAGAAAGTAGTGACCGGAGAAAGATGCAATATCCAGTTTCCATTTTATTTTGTGCCGAATTTTAACTACTGGCTTAATTAAATTCAGCTTTTCAGAATTTCTCAAAAAGCAGACCATTTCATATATACTTGAGTAATTCGCTTATCAACAAATTTCTCATAAAAAAAATACAATATTTGTGTCATACGGATAGCTAATTATCAGGAAACGGATTCTGCCAGGTTTCGGATTTCTCTTGGGTTCACTTATTTATTGTTAGTATTTTGTTATTATTATTAATGTATTGTTAAGGTGTATAATTAGTATTTTCTGATTTGTTCTTTATTATGTAACGTTTCTCTTTGTTTTTTATTATGTAATTTTTGTTATAACTACAATTATTGTATAAATTTAAATTAATTTAAGGTTAAGTTGAAAAGCAGCCTTTGGCTGATACTTCACCTTTTCATTGTACACTTACTGGCA